CATAAATTTGGGACGTCCTCTATGTATGGACGATGTCTAGACGCAACTTTACTCATTCGTTTTCGTTTGTTTTTCTAGTTTCTCGATACAAAGTTTAGGGTGGCCACGGTGAAAGCTGGAACGTTTGTTCGATCTCCCGTCGTACAAATTCGATCTGGGCAAGTGTGGCGATCGCCAACTCAGTCACATCCGCAGGTGCCTGGAAGTCAAAACCCATCAATAAGTCAGTTTTAGCCTTCTTTAATTTATTGTGAGATTTTTAGTTTTCTCCTTTAGCATATGCGCAGCATTCTGCACAAAACTCCGCAGGCGCAGGAGTTCAGCGAACCCGGCAAATGGTGGTCCAACCAGCACAGTTTCAACAGCAACAGCATACAACTCCGCAACGGCCACTGTACCAGCAAAAACCTTTAGTACAAGGCGGTGGATACGTGTACCAACAGCAAGGTTTGCACAACTTTTTTCGTATCGACGCTCAACCGAGATTAGTTGTATTATCGTACCATCTTAGTTCAAAGTTGAAGATTTCCTTTACAGTGCGGTATGTTAGTGATGGACATCAACAAAGAGATTCGCAGCACCAGTACACGTATGCATCAGTAACCAGTTCACAAACACAAATATCCGGTGATTTCTCCGCCGATTACTCATATGACAACGGCACGACTTCACTCAACCTAGCTGTACCTATTCGAGAACCTTCACCAGAACCGGTGAGTTTTGAGTTGCTCATAATAATTAGAAACTTTCGTAATGGCAGGACTTCTTCATTGAAGTTAGTGAGCTATTTACTTTTAAATTGCCGCTTGCAGGTGGAAGAGGAACCGCCTGCTCCGACTGTGCAAGACCCGTCAACCAGTGAAGCTGCTGAAGAGAACGATGACGAAGAAGATGGAGAAATCGATATTCAAGTATGTTCATATGTTTCCACTCCTATCCCCTTGTCCGCGAAATCCAATTACTCATATCCCAGAATCTATATTTAGATAAGGAATGTGGTATGTAATTACACTTTGCCGCTACATATAGATCTTCGGAAGTTAGCGTTGAGCACCAATAATGTAACGTTCGATAGAGGTCGTGGGGTAAGTCAACACTTCTCTATGCAGTTTTCCGATGTGTATGTGTCTTGTATTACTAGCGATGGTGTTTTTTTACGTCATTGATTTATCGTATCTGTCGAGACATATGTTTGTATAGTTGTCAACTATGTGCATGTAGTCCTCTGTCCGGGCACGCGCTGCACTTAATCACTTCATTCGCTTGATCTATTTATCGTATCGTTATTGGTCAAATCAGTAATCTGACCAATAGCGGAGCATGTTCGCTTGATCCGTCTGATTTACTTCATCCATCTCGATACTGGTCACTGCACTGAACTGGTTGAACCAATTGCGAAGTGAATCAAGTGGGTTAGGTGTGGGATGTGCCTTGTGGTCTTGGTTAATTACAATGGAAGGACCTGAAATCGAAATGACTTTCTTGGAAAGCATCGTACGCTGATTTCAAATGCCTTTGTATTTGCCAAGCGCGCCTAGATGATGAATCATGAGTTTTTCTGGCTCAAATAATTGAATTGGAACTAAAATGTCCAATATTGCGCAAATGGTTCAGCGTTGGATATCAGAGAGCACTTCGTGCACGAAAAAACCTTTTGTTTATATACTCGTAGAGTTTGGAAAGACCATAACCGTTGGTTATACCAGGATTTCGCTATCATTTTATGCTCGAAAAAACTCATAAAATCAGCACGTTAGGCGCTTGGCAAAAGATAAAGAATGTTTAAATCAGTATTTGACGCTATTCAGATTGCTATTTTTATTTGGGAAGCGATTTCGAGTTAGAATCTCCAGTCAGCGTCCGTGCGTCTGTTGCACGGTCTTTCTTTCCCTTTGCGCGCTAATGTTAGTATATGAATAATCATCTAGCTGTACTCAGATCTTCCATATCCTTTGACATATGAATTGGCAATCTTCCTATCCTAATGTTGTTACAGGTACTCCTCAAGCAGAAGCGGAGGCCGAATTGCTATGTCAAAATCTATAGCTCTGGCAAGGTCTACATTGTAGGATGCAAGAGGTAATAGTTCTTGCGACTTGAACATCTCATGCCAATCTTTGCACTGACATACAGTGAGGCTGATTGCATGATCGCTGCTCGCAACATCGCTAGACGGGTACAAAAGGCTATGAATAAAGAAAAAGATATTGTTAGGATACGAAATTATAAGGTGAGCGTCTGGACTG